CCCCAAAACCCCAAAACCCCAAAACCCCATAAAATGGGATATACGATTATGTTGGTAAAATAATATTGTGTGATATGATTTGCAATATAATCCTAAGTAAATTACTTTAATAAAGATAGTAAATGAATGATGATTATCTGAATTGATTAGAATTTAATAATACCTCAAACAAATTAATTTTAACTCAAATAATCGATCAAAAGAATAGGTCAAGCACATAAGTTGAATAATATGATGTAAGCAGGGACACATTCGGAATTCCATATTCAACGATTGGAGTCAGTATGTTTTAAATTAAAACGAACGGATCCACAATGGCTTCTAATTTACTATACAGTATTAGAATAGCAATAGCTGAACCAAGCAAAGGAATTAGCTACATTATGCTAAAAGTTCCGATTGAAAACCAAAACAATGAGGAAATAATGTTCCTTTAACTGGTAGTCATAGTCTCTTTGTTAATTAGCATAAGAGCGATAGTTGTTCCACCTGTGATCAATGTGTTTAGGAATATGTAACCAAATTAAATCGATCCCCAAATAGCCAAGGCATAGACTATAGTATCGAGAAATCCTTAAACTTTTGGAGTTTTCTGACTCAATAACTTTTATTTTTCTAATGATATTGATGATTCATCAGCAGAGTCTTTTCTCTTTAAGCTTTGATCACTGATTTCAAATTACTCATTTAATTGCAGACTACGTAATATCTATTCTTTATTGTAGCTTAGCTCCACGGGTAAAGGTCTGAGTATTGACCAAGTGTAGATGATGTTTTTATAGTTAGGATACATACTGTAGATCAAAAGCACCAGTCTTATAATGAAATCCTTATACTCTGTAGTGAGAAACACAACAGGCGAGGACAGGCTTAAAACCATAATATTTAATTTTAATAAGTTATACATTGTAAATAATAATAGCTAGCCTTTTGTTAATATTGTTTACAAATTAACCTTATCTCATATTTATCAAAATAATATTTCACGAATAATTATTATTTCACCCTTTAGGGGTTTTGGGGTTTTGGGGTTTTGGGG